GATGGCAGCTGCCACAGGTCCTTGATGCAGCTGGTCTCCTCTTCCAGACTCCACAGCACCTTCTTCCCAAGCTTAGCACGACAGCTGGTTGGTCCAAAGGTCACTTCGGCCTTGCTCTTCTGCAGTCGTCGCACAGAGAGAAGGTTAGCAGACAAGCCTTCAACCAGCAGAACATTCCCAAGCCCCACAAGCTCCCCATTAGCTCCCTTAACCTTGGCATTTCCAACACCAATGACAGGGAGCAAAGCACCTGACGCTGCTGCCACATACTTGATCTTCCCAGGGGGTTTTACCTCATCAAGCAAATCTGCCCGTGGGTCATGTGACTGGTGCAACCTGAATCAATCACCCAGTGCGTGAGGGTGCATCACAACCTTTCCCACAGATCCCACATCACCCTCATGCCCATGCACATCCTCAACCATGAGAAACATCCCAGGATAGGCATTACCTTGTGCACCTTCACCTTGTGCACCTGAGCCTTGCACAGCACCACCTTGTGCGCGTTCACCACTGGGCGGCTTCATGCCTGGAGGTGCCCATCCCTCCGGCCTGCTGAAGCACTTGAACCAAGGATGCCCGACCTTCTTGCAGTACCAGCAGGTGCCCTCCATTCTGGTACTCCCCCTGCCACTGGAGCTCCCATGCCCCTCATTATAGTCACCTCGGCCTCTACCTCTGCCAAAGCTTCTTCCCACGGCCTCGGCCTCTCCAACCCCCTCTTCCTCTGCCGCGCCCTGCAGCTCCATACCCCTCAGCAGTCTTAGTGGCAGCACCGCCTCCCACATGGCGTCTGCGGAAGTCCTCCTGCAGAATCTGCTGCCTTAGCCACTCAGGTGTCCATTGATCTTGCTGAGAGTTGAGGGTGGGGATGAGGTTGTCCCAAGAGTTGTCCAACACCGAGATGATCTTGGTGCACTGCTGCAGCTGAGATACACTACTGCCCGCTGCTGCCATCCTTGCATAGGTGTCCTTGATCTTGTCAAGGACCGGCTTCACATCGTCCCCTGGTCGCATGGAGATGGCAGCAAGTTCCTTCTCGAGCACGATCACCATTGGGAGAGTGTTGGGCTGAATCACATCACGTAGTAGTTTCCACGCCCTTGGACCCGAATCATCCGCTTCCACAAGATCCTTGATGTGCTCGAACATCTCCTTGTTGACCGATTGAAGGATGAGGTCGAAAAGCACCGCGCTTTTCTCAATCCACCGTTCGCGTGCTTCGCCTTCTTCCGGCATCTTCTCTTCCCCAACAGCAATCTTCAGTAGCTTGTAGCGTTTGAAGGCACTCCTCATCCGTCCGCTCCATTCCTCATAGTTGGAGCCATCCAAAGCTTCAACTTTTGATGGCGGCGGCTCACTTGTCTTCTCAGGTACAGCTCCTCTTCCATTAGCATCTCCTCCTCTCTCATTCATCTTCTCCTTGAGAAATGACGAATTTCAGCTCCCCTTTGCTGTCCACACTCAGCTCCCTCGATATTTTCACAAGTGTCGGCGTCCACGAAATTTCGGCAGAGTTTCCCCTTAGCGGAAGACACATCCAACCTTTAGAACACCACTTAGGCACACCCACAGGCCATGGTGGGTCTAGAAGGGTCTTCAAACTTCTGTAGACTCCTCTCAATGTCCTTAATATTGCTCTGATACCACTTGTTAGGATTAAGGACAGAGTCTAGGTGAACTTAGGAGCTAGAATTACTCAAAATATAAATCCGAAATTCTGGACAGAAAAGTCGTCTTCACAAGAAACGACGTCGACAAAAACCTAGCCGTTGGAATGTCGCGAAACTTGGATATGTTGTAGCTCTTAATCTCAGCTACCGTTCCCAATTTGAATCACGTTGATTGATGAAGTATTCGCGACGCTATGGCTTTCGACGCACTAGGGGGTAAGCTGTAGGAGGAGAACTTAACTCAATCTCAAGAGTTCAATCAAAGTTCAAGAATCTCACAAGGAATTAGAAGGAGCAAGAGAAAGGTTGGGATAGGAAGAGAGGGATGAGAGGGAAGTCCCAAGAGAGTCCCCAACCAAGGAAACCCCATAAGCACAAAGATTCCCTCCCTATAGGAACCCCAACTTTGACATTTGTCCCTTCCCAACCAATCCATCCAAGTTGGCCACCCTTGCCAACCTAGCTTGGTTGTTCCCAACCAATTTGCAGCTGTTACAGTAGAGTGACGAATTTCCCCAACCCCAAAGGTCCCAACTCCATATAAAGTCACCCCACAACTTCACTTTGTAACCGCCGCAATTGTAACGCAAGCTCATGAACTTTGAATCTTCATAGCTTTCGCGTTCTTGCTCCGATTGACGCGATTCTTGTTGCGTCGGAAAGATCTTCTCAAGATCTATCATCACAAATACCTGCTCAGACAGAATAACACAAAACACATTCCCAAACTCCAGAACACACACCACACAAATTCTTTCACATTCAAACCACACATGCAAGTTGAAAACATGGGATGGGAGGCAGACAGAATGTGATAGCATATGATGACATCACACAACAGCTGAGAGCAGTCGCGGTCGACATGAAGAGTGGACATTTGGCCTAGCCGCTAGACGACTACTGCTGTGACTAGCCTTCAGAGTTTTTTTTTCTTCGATTCTCTGCCCTATTCCTAGCGTACGTGCAATCTATCGAAAACTCAGACCCTGGTGACAGAGGCTTATGATCTGGTATCTCTGACGCGAAGTAAGCGATCGCGTGGTTACTGGAGGATCACGCGGTAAGGGGCATGCACTAGCGAAAGTCTGAGCGACTTTGCTAGCTTGTGCAAAGAATGCTCGACGGAAACAGATCTAGTCTCTACTCGGGTAGTAATTGTCCACATTGACCATCGAGCCTTAAAGCTTGTACTCGCTATTGGCAATTCGATATTGGCTAGAGTTTGTAATATCTAGAGGTGCATCAGTTGTTTATACATAATGTCCACATGCTCCAGATAGCAAATAATTCATTTTTCCTTGTCAAAACATCACGAACTTGCTAAACAGTGCCATTTTGTGGACAAATTGTTCCGTCGCTGTATGCGAAGCGAAGCGAAGCTAAGCCAAGTGAAGCGAAGCTAAGCGAAGCGAAGCGAAGCTAAGCGAAGCTAAGCGAAGCGAAGCTAAGCGAAGCGAAGCTAAGCGAAGCGAAGCTAAGCGAAGCGAAGCTAAGCGAAGCAAAGCAAAGCGAAGAGAAGCAAAGCAAAGCGAAGCAAAGCGAAGCGAAGAGAAGCGAAGAGAAGCAAAGCAAAGCTATTAGAAGCGAAGCGAAGCTAAGACAAGCTCAGCGAACCTAAGCGAAGCTAGGCGAAGCGAGGCTAAGCGAAGCGAACAGGAAGCTAAGCGAAGCGAAGCGAAGCTAATCGAAGCGGAACTAAGCGAAGCAAACACGAAGCTAAGCGAAGCTAAGCGAAGCTAAGCGAAGCAAAGTGAAGAGAAGCTAAGCGAAGCGAACATGAAGCTAAGCGAAGCTAATCGAAGCGAAGCTAAGCGAAGCGAACACGAAGCTAAGCGAAGCTAAAAGAAGCGAAGAGAAGAGAAGCGAAGCTAAGCGAAGCTAAGAGAAGCGAAGCTAAGAGAAGCAAAGCGAAGCTATGCGAAGCGAAGCGAAGCTAAGCGAAGCTAAGCGAAGCGAAGCGAAGAGAAGCGAAGCAAAGCAAAGCAAAGCTAAGCGAAGCTAAGCGAAGCTAAGAGAAGCTAAGCGAAGCGAAGCGAAGCTAAGCGAAGCGAAACGAAGCTAAGCGAAGCTAAGCGAAGCGAAGCGAAGCTAAGCGAAGCGAAGCTAAGCGAAGCGAAGCTAAGCGAAGCAAAGCGAAGCGAAGCGAAGCTAAGCGATGCTAAGCGAAGCGAAGCGAAGAGAAGCGAAGAGAAGCAAAGCGAAGCTATGCGAAGTGAAGCGAAGCTAAGCGAAGCTATTAGAAGCGAAGCGAAGCTAAGAGAAGCTCAGCGAACCTAAGCGAAGCGAAGCGAAGCTAGGCGAAGCGAGGCTAAGCGAAGCGAACAAGAAGCTAAGCGAAGCGAAGCGAAGCTAATCGAAGCGGAACTAAGCGAAGCAAACATGAAGCTAAGCGAAGCTAAGCGAAGCTAAGCGAAGCTAAGCGAAGCTAAGCGAAGCAAAGTGAAGAGAAGCTAAGCGAAGCGAACATGAAGCTAAGCGAAGCTAATCGAAGCGAAGCTAAGCGAAGCGAACACGAAGCTAAGCGAAGCAAAAAGAAGCGAAGAGAAGAGAAGCAAAGCTAAGCGAAGCTAAGAGAAGCAAAGCTAAGAGAAGCAAAGCGAAGCTATGCGAAGCGAAGCAAAGCAAAGCTAAGCGAAGCTAAGCAAAGCTAAGAGAAGCTAAGCGAAGCGAAGCGAAGCTAAGCGAAGCGAAGCGAAGCTAAGCTAAGCTAAGCGAAGCAAAGCGAAGCTAAGCGAAGCGAAGAGAAGTAAAGAGAAGTGAAGCGAAAAGAAGCGAAGCTATGAGAAGCAAAGCGAAGGTATGCTAAGCGAAGATAAGCTAAGCGAAGCTAAGCGAAGCGAAGCGAAGCTATGGGAAGCGAATCGAAGCTAAGGGAAGCGAAGCTAAGCGAAGCGAAGCGAAGCTAAGCGAAGCAAAGGGAAGCTAGGCGAAGCTAAGCGAAGTGAAGCTAAGCGAAGCTAAATGAAGCAAAGTGAAACGAAGCAAACAGGAAGCTAAGCGAAGCGAAGCGAAGCTAATCGAAGCGAAGCTAAGCGAAGCGAACATGAAGCTAAGCGAAGCTAAGTGAAGCGAAGTGAAGAGAAGCTAAGCAAAGCGAACACGAAGCTAAGCGAAGCTAATCGAATCGAAGCGAACATGAAGCTAAGCGAAGCTAAAAGCAGCGAAGAGAAGGGAAGTGAAGCTAAGCGAAGCGAAGCGAACGTAAGCGAAGCTAAGAGAAGCGAAGCGAAGCTAAGCGAAGCGAGGTGAAGCTAAGCGAAGCTAAGGGAATCGAAAGGAAGCTAATCGAAGTTATGCAAAGCGAAGCGAAGCTAAGCGAAGCTAAGCGAAGCGAAGCGAAGCTAAGGGAATCGAAGCGGAGCTAAGGGAAGCGAAGCGTAGCGAAGCGAAGCGAAGCGAAGCGAAGCGAAGCTAAGCGAAGCGAAGCGAAGCTACAGTAAGCGAAGCGAAGCGAATCGAAGCGAAGCTAGGTGAAGAGAAGCGAGGCTAAGCGAAGCTTAGGGAAGCAAAGCGAGGCTAAGCGAAGCGAAGCAAAGCTAAGCGAAGCAAAGCGAAGAGAAGCGAAAAGAAGCGAAGCGAAGCTAAGAGAAGCGAAGCGAAGATATGCGAAGCGAAGCGAAGCTACGCGAAGCAAAGCAAAGCTAAGCGAAGCGAATCTAAGCAAAGCTATGCGAAGCGAAGCGAAGCTAAGCGAAGTGAAGCGAAGCTAAGCGAAGCGAAGAGAAGCGAAGCGAAGCATAGAGAAGCGAAGCAAAAAGAAGCGAAGCTAAGAGAAGCAAAGCGAAACTAAGCGCAGGTATGCGAAGCGAAGCGAAGCTAAGCGAAGCTAAGCGAAGCAAAGGGAAGCGATCCGAAGCTAAGCGAAGCTAATCGAAGCGAAGCGAACACGAAGCTAAGTGAAGCTAATCGAAGCGGAGAGAAGCGAAGTGAAGCTAAGCGAAGCGAAGCAAACGTAAGCGAA